CGCAGCACCCGTTCCCCCCCCCCCCCCCCCTCCCCAAGTGCAGCGCACCCAATTGACGTGTACCGCTCCGTCCACATGTCCCAGTCGATCGACTCGACCTTGGTGTCCTGGATGCCCCTCGCCAGCTCGTTGATGCGCGACGCGATCGTCATCATGATCTTGCGCTGCTCCGGCTCGTGCGACCCGAAGATCTCGCCGACTTTGCTCACGTTGATGGAGCCTGCAGCAGGCGCGAGGGGAGGCTGGCTTGGGAGGAGAGGAGGGGAAGGGCGGCCGCTGATGTCGCGCCCCGCGAAGGAGGGTGGACCACCCGAGGGGGAGAGGGGGGGGGGGGAGGGGAGCCGGCAGCGCGCAGAGCCGGAGGGCTGGCGGCGGAGGGCCCGCGGCACCGGTCTCCGCATCTGCCTGGATCTGGGCGACGGTGTAGTCTGGCGGCGGCGGCGGGTTCTCCATCTTTGTGGTGAAGTCGGTGATCGCAACGTCCAGATCCTTGACAATCTTGTCCGGATCGGCGACCGCGCACATCCCGCGCACGCGGCGCAGCGGCAGCGCCGCGCGCGACGAGCGGGCCGCGGCGAGCCGCAGCATAACCTCAAGGGGGGGGGGTGGGGGTGAGGGGCGGTGAGGGAGGGAGTCAAGGAAGGAGGCGGCGAGGAGGTGCGGCCGGCGTAGCGAGCCGCTGGGGGTTGTGGCACCGAGAGTGGAGCTGCCCTGCGGCGGCCGAACTCTTCGTTCGGCGAATTTCACCTTTTTTTTTTCGCGCGCGAATTCTTTTCTTGTTGGTGTCCAGTCCGAGCCTGGCTGTTCTTCACCTTACTACCTACCTACCTACCTTGCGCTGCGAAGCGGTCGTTCCCAGCGAAGGGGGAAACCTTTTTCCTCCCTGTGTGTGCCACGGCGCTTCACCTCACGCCCGCCGAGCGTGTCGACTCGCCCTTGCTGCCGGCAAATGGCGTCCATCGGCCTCGGCGAGGCAGGCGCTCCGGAGGCCGTGCCTCCGCCTCGCGCCGCGGCCCTGTCAGACGCCTCTCCGACGGAGCAGCCGCAGGCCACGTCTCCCGACCCCTTGCGACCCGCGTTCGAGAGGCCGGGCTTGTCGGCAGCGGCAGCCCCGGTTGACGTCCCGATGCAGCCGTCTCCGAAGCCTCCGAAGACGCCGGGCTCGCCCTGTGCCTCGGCCCGCCCGCACGATGACAACGCGATGGACGACGCGTCGCTCCTTCAAGCCGCGGCAGAGCCGCTGTCGGCAGCAGATGCTGACGCAATGCAGATCGACTGCCCTGATCTCAGCCAGTTGACGGGCGGGATGGCCCTGATTGAGCGAGAGAGCCCCTCGGCGCAGAACTCTTCGGTCGGCGAAAAAGAGAAAACGTGTGCCTGTGAGGTTAATAACTGCACTCCAAGTGCTCCAAGTGCTTATTCCCTACTGCCGCGGCGCCCCTATCAGTTCGGAGGCGCCAGGCGGCCGCGCGCTTGGTGCCGACGTCGACCGGCTGCTCTTGCGGCGCCGAGACGTGCCGCTTTGGTCACGTCTCGCGCGCTGCGAGGTGCCTTTTGGCATGTGAGCGCTTGCCATAGACGCCAGGATGCTTGGCTTCCACGCCTGCGGCCGCGGGCGAGCGGGCGGGCACGCCAGGCTCGGCGACGCTCTGCGCGGGTCTTCGAGCTCGCAGCCCGCGACGAGCCAGCATGGCTCGTCGCTCGACGGCAGCCTGCTCAGAATGCTCTCGGCATTCTGTACAGCATCGCCAAGCTCTCTGGGAAGGTCTACAGGGCCAGGGCGGGGCGTCTCGGGCGCGATGGCGCGCTGAATAGCACCATGACTACGAGCTCTCCGATCGGGCCGCCGGCAGCGGGCTTGCGCGGCGCGCCGCTCGACGGCAGGCTGCTCCCCACCCTTCCAACAGTGTCTTTTGCCTAGCTTCTCTCGCTGCAACCGCCTCCGGGGGCCGGCGCCGGCCGCCTCGCTTCGCCAGCGCTGCCTACGCCTACGACATGCGCGTCGGCTCGCCGCCCGCGTCGCCTGCGGCGGGCCCACGTGGCGCGCCGCTCGTCGGGAGCGTGCTCAGCAGGCTGTGCAGCGCAGCCTGACTCACTCAGAGCGCCGCCGCCGCTGCGCGGGGCCGCCACCGGCGCTGCTGCCGTGAACACTGCCGCCGTGTACGTCACCATCGCCTCTCTTCGTCGCCGATCTCACTCAGAGCGCCGCTGATGTGGCGTGGGGCCGCCGGCGGCGCTGCTGCCGCGCACGCTGCGCTGTGGGCGTCACCATCGTGTCTCGCTGCGTCGCCGACGCCACTTGCCGCTCGCGGCTGCCCTGCCCTTCCCTGCCATCGCGCAAACAAACACACACACACACACACACACACACACACACACACACACAAACACATATTAATCATCGGGTAATAATTATTAATTATTAATCATCGGGCGGCGGCGCGGCGCGGCGGCGGGCGGCGCGAGGGCGGGGGGGGTAATTACTTATTAATTAATTAATAATGAATTAATAATCATCGGGCGGGGCGGAGCGGGGCGGCGCGACCATCTGCACTGACCTCGGTCTCTGGCCGTTGGAGCGGAGCAATGGTCGCGCCGCCCTCGACTCAAGGGGCTGCCTTCCACCCGTAGCTGCTCAGGCCGGGGGAGAGGGGGAGACCTCCTGTTCCTCGCGGAACGGGAGCAGGCCCCTCCTTGCCCGGTCTGCGATGCAGGGCGGTGGTCGTGCCATCTTCGCTTCGTACACGCAACACCACCACGCCGCAACCGTCGCCGGCGCGCGACACGTTCTCGTCAGCAGGACTGTCCTCGTCGAGTGTGTGTCGCCAAGGCGAGACACACTCAGGGACGGTGCCGACGGGACGCGGCTCGAAGGGCGTGGCTCCGCAGCGCGGCTGGCACTCGTCGCAGAGGCCTCGCCTTCGAAAAGTCGAGGATTCGAGGATAGGGAGATGTCGTGCGCTGTATTTATTTTCCCCCGCTGTCTACATGCAACACACGTCCACGCGCACAGAGCACGCTGCGTATGACTGCCTGGCCTCGGGGACGTAGGCTCCGGCACGGCGGCGCGCCGCCGGTCGGGTCGGCGACGGAGGTGCGGCTGGTGGAGCTGGGCGCGCTGTCGTCGCGCGAGCAGCTCGCACTTGTGCGAGGCGCTGCGGGGCTGATCGGTGCGCACGGCGCGACGCTGGTCCGGAGCCTCTTCCCCCTCTCCCGGACCTCTCCCGGACCTCTCGTGGACCGCTTCTTCAGGCGCGGCGCTGGTCTGGAACCTCTTCCTCCCCGCGGGCGCGCCCGTGCTAGGGAGGTGTGGGGGAGATTTGGGGAGATTGGGGGAGATTGGGGGAGATCTGCACCTAGGCGCGCCCGTGCTCGAGCTGCTCAACACCGCGCTAACGCAAACGCGTACTACTCCAATCAGTGCCGCTGGCAGCGCCGCGGGTGACGCGTCCGCCGCTCGATACCCCGCGTCACCTCCTCCTTCTCCGCCGCCGCCCCACCGCCGCCGCCCCACCGCCGCCGTCTCACCGCCGCCGCCCCCACCGCCGACATCCCCGCCACCGCCGCCCCCACCGCCGCCGTGCCCGCCACGGGCAGACGAACCAAACCGTCGCTGCGCGAGACCACTCGACACCGCCGCTATCGGCGACGAATCTCTCGACAGCTCATCGACGCTCTCTTTACCGTCGACTGGAGTGGCCCGTACTGATCAGATC